CCCCCTTTCCCCGCCTGCCCCCAGCACTGTGGTTTACTACTGCAACCTGGCTATTGGAACATGATGATGTGGAAGCCGACTGGAGGTTGGGAAGGAGAAGGGTCCTTCAGCTCCCTTTGGAAGGCATCCTCCTCTTGTCTTTTACCCCATCGCCAGTTAATCATTACCAGCACTTATGCCCCTGCTCGTTTTTCTCTTCAAATGCCTCAGTGGTCAGTAGGCTAAATGGTGCTCAGAGGTGAATTTATAGATGAGGATTACAAAGTGAATTTAAGATGTAATGACAAGGTCATTGGCGACTCTGGTGAGAGCAGTGCCATTGGTGTGGTGGGGCAGCACCCAGTTTGCAGTGGGTTAGGCTGAGTGAGAAGTAGGAAAGGAAACACCGCGTGAGTGTTGGTGGCTTGGCAATGAAAGTGAGTCTAAAGAAAGAACAGTAATGGGGGGATCTGGATTTTGGGGGGGAGCTTCCTGTTTCGTTTTTAAGGTTGAAAGAGACTTGTGTAAGTGCCAGGTGGATAGTGTGGGGAGAGAAGGAGACACTGGGTTGAAGATGGGAGAGTTGAGAGCACCGAGGAGGCGTGGGAAGTGGGAGGAGAGAGTATCCTGAGCAGAAGTGGAGGGAGGGAGTGTCCTCCGCCGAGGGAGGCGAACTTTCTCATTGTTTCAGAAAGGAGGGAAGTGTTTTCGTGGCACAAAGTTGAGAGTTCTTTGCTTATAACTGTGGTTTTCTCTGTGGGTAGGTACGAGGCCTTCTACTGAGAGCGGCAGGGAAGCTTTGAAGTGGGGCATAGAAGGTTTCACAACTCCTGCCGGCTTTGTATCAACTGGTGTGGAAGACAAGGGAGAGGGCTGCCTACGGGGGTAAAGAAAGATCGCTTGCCGGTGTGGAGGGCCCAGTGGTGGAGTTTGTTGTGTCAATCGCTATGTTTTCCTGGCTTTGTTTTCTTTCAGGGATGGGCTCACACGCCCACGTCTGTTAGAGCAAGAAGTGGATGGTTGTGTTTCTGCCAGAGTTGTGGGATGGACAGTGGGGAAGACCATGTTGGCAAGTCAGAGGTCGAAGTGATGGCTCATGGAATAGACCCTGAGTAAGGAAGGAAGTAAAGACAGGAATGGACAGAATGTTAAGAACTGTAGGTCCCAGGAGACTGAAAAACCAGGGAAATGGCAGTCTGGAAAATAGGAGGTGCCGATGAGAGAGGGAGATGTCCAAATTTCTGCATGATGACAGTTTGTGGAGAGGCCGTGGGAAGTAGACATTGTTGGGCTTAGTGGTGGGTGTTGTGTGTGCAAACGACCTGGCTCTCAAGGGTGCCCAGATCATGGAAGGGCTTCGGAAAGGAAGCCTGAGAGCCAGGCACTCTCGGGGAATCAGGAGAAATGACAGGGCTGTCAGAAGGTGAGGGCGTGAGGAGGGATCGAGATGGATAGATGCTGATGGCAGGAGCCTCAAAGGGTTTTCGCAGAGCCAGGAGCGGTGGTGGTAAGCAGCCGTGTGGAATGAGGAGGTGTCAGTAGCATCTCTTGGTCTTGGAAATGAGGTTTGTGAAATGTGAGAAAATGTGCAGCTTTCCCCTTGATGGGACAGGAGGGAGGCTGTATTTTCAGGGGAGAGCCAGCTTTCAGAATTTGAATAGGTTGAAGAAGTACAGGACATTATTGTTAGTTATGAAATGGGTGTTCCAGAGAGCTTGCTGGAATGTCTGAGGAAAGGGAGACGAGTGACAGCTCTTGTGAGGAAGAAGGCAGCTCAGAGGAGCCTGAGGGGAAGACACCTGGCCGGTCATCCCTCCAGGTGTTCTCTCAGGGCTGGGGCATGAAGCAGAAAGCGAGGAGCTGGCTAATATCTGATGACAGAAGAGGTCCCTTCTGGGGAAGGAGGGTCACTCTGACTTCTTGATATTCAGCTATGGCCAAGAGAGATGGCATTTCTGACAAAGACCAAATCTCTCTAGAGTGAGTTGGCTGTAAGTTTTGGAATGAATGGAAATTCTTTGGAATGGCTCCAGGCCACAATCATTGAACATTAACTCCAGGGGAGTAAAAGGAGTTCTTTTGTGGTAGGATAAGGCTCAGAGGACAGGGCACCCTCCTGGTTAGATCTCTGTATGCACATTGACAGACTTCCCTTCCTAAAAAAAATGATTTTAGAGAGAGAGGAAGGGGGGGGGGAGATTGAAAGAGAGAGAGATTTGTCATTCCACTTATTTACACATTCATTGGTTGATTCTTAATGTGCCCTAATCAGGGATCAAACCCACAACCTTGGCATATCTGGATGACACTCTAACCACCTGAGCTACCCAGCCAGGGCCTAATTTGTTCTTTAGGGTTCAAATTTATTTTCTTCACTTATATTTCTTTCTCTGACTCTGTACTATGTCTTACAAATTGTTGAATTTAAAAAAAAGAAATTGGTGGATGTCTGGAGATCACCAAGAAGATATTCCTATGGAGCGATGGTGAAAATTAACATTCTTACCACTCTTGTGTGAGGTTACTTATTTGTTCACCTGACTTTAGGTATGGACCTGTGGCCTTGTGATCTTTGAGGGCACTCCAGATTGTGGAACAGGTATGGAAATAAATATACAGAACGAACAGAATGGTGGCTGTCTCTGGCCATGAACTGTGGGTGCGGCTTTTCTTTCTTTATTGTTTTGTTTACTACAGATACTAGAAAACAGAGACAAACACTTAGGGGACCTTATTTCCCTTTCTAAGTTAGACCCTGAATTTCACAGAGGAAAACTTTACTACAAACTCATAGTTGGCATTTTATTGGCTTGCATATTTTAGGAGTATTGTGTCTAGCTTTCTCTCCAGAAATTCAGTAATGTCTGTGGCCCAGTTTCAGCCAGGGTGCAGAATTCCGAGGTGAGCGTGTTGCTGGCCTCGTTCCTGGCTCTGCTCTTTTCTCTGCCCTTGTTTTTCCTCTGTCTTTTTCACCTACTTCTAATTTATGTCATTTGATCGTATTTCTATATGTATCACTGTATCTTTTCTAGAACAGGTTGTGGTAAAAATAAGTAAAATAAGTATGGGGCCAGAGAGTGTGAACATCCTTCTGTATTATGATTATTTTTTTACCTTATGGTTTTCCAAAGCATCAAACAAGTTTTACTACATTTTTAAATCCCCTTTGTCCTTAAAGGAGCTGTTAAAAAATGAGCAATTTGTGTGTGTGTGTGTGTGTGTGTGTGTGTGTGTGTGTGACTATAAAAGTATTGTATGAGAATAGTAAGAAATTTGAAAATAAGGATGAATATAAAGAGGACAGTTGTTGCCCTGGCCAGTGTGCTCAGTGGTAGAGCGTTGCCCTGAGCACCGAAGGGTCGTGGGTTTGATTCCCGGTCAAGGGCACATACTTGGGTTGCAGGCTCGTTCCCTACCCCAGCCAGGGTGCGTGCAGGAGGCAACCAACCCATGTGTCCCTCTCACATCGCTGTTTCTCTCTCTCTGTCTCTCTCTGCCCCTGCCTCCCTTCCACACTCTCTAAAAATCAATGGAAAAATATCCTTGGTGAGAATTGATGAAACAAAACAAAAAAAGGACATTTGTCATTATTAGTCTTAGATTTCTCTTCTAACCATTTATATTTAAATTTTTAACACCAATGAAATAATAATTTATGTACAATTAATTTTGTATCTTACTGTTTTGTCAAAACTATATTGAATCATTTTTGTCATTAAAAATGTGCTACAGAATGATTACTGATAACCACAGGGCAAATATGCCATCATTTCCTTGACCGTTTTTTATGTCGGACATTTAGGTTGCTTTGATTCCTTTGCTATTTTATTTTAAATAATATTACTGTGAACATCATTATACAGATATCTTTGCCACAGTTGAAAAGTTATCTTCTAATGATTGATTCCTAGAAGTAGAATAGCAGTAATTAATGACATAAATATGAAAGCCATAAATGAAGGAGAAAATATAGGCAAATATTTTTAATAACTTGCCATGGGGATAGCATTCTTATGGATGACACCAAAAGTATCAGCCATAAGGGAAAATAATGGATGAATTAAAAAATTCTGTATCAGAAAAACCGTTTAAAAATTATGATAGACTAGGGACTATAAAGAGCTTTCACAAAAGAAAAAGTCTTGAGTTACATTTTAAAAAGACCTCTCACAAAGGAAGTAAAACAGCCAACAAATATTTGAAAGGCTGTTCAATCATAATAGTCATCAAAGAAACAAAAGTACAGTAAAGATGACATATTCTTTTTTAGTTATAAGTCCATCAAAGTGTTGATGAGACTATATGGTAATAATATAAATTGGTATATTTCTGGAAGCAATTTTTCAATTAAAAATACATATAGTCTTTAAAATTTTTTAAAAATTTATTGATGAGACAGAGAGAAGCTTCGATTTGTTCTTTCACTTATTGACACACTCATCAGTTGCTTCTTGTATGTGCCCTGACTAGAGATTGAACCTGCAACCTTGGTGTATTGGGATGACTCTCTAACCAACTGAGCTACCTGACCAGGGCCACATATACTCTTATCCAGAAATTCTATCTTTAGGAATTTATTTTAAGAGAATTATCAAACAGATGCCCAGTGATGTTTACTGTAGCATTGTTTATTGATTGAAAAATTGGAAACAACTTAAATGGGGATTTGGTTTAATTATGATATGGAATGCTTTATAATGTGTTAAATAGCATTCAGTAGAATGCTATATAATGTGTTAAAAATTATTATGTAGATCTGAGCTTACTGACAGAAAGATGTCCAAGATGTGTTAAAGAGATATAGAAAATATGAGTGAATGAATATGCACAGAAAAAATGTGAAGAGATATAAAGCATAATATAAATAGCATTTTTCTATATTTTGAGGGAGTATGGCTGATCTTTTTTTAATTTCTTTATTTTTCCTGATGTTTTAAAATAAGTATGTCCAACCTGACTAATAGGAGGGAGAAAAAAGGCAGTTTCCCCTGTAAAACTGGTTACAGCAGAAACAAAACATGTGTTTTATCATACTGCTTTTTGTAGTTACCAGATATTGATTTCAAAGTTAGAAGAGAAGTGTTACATAAACTATAATTTATGAGTGGGTTTGCAGAAGCATAGTAAAGAGAAATGCTCAGTTCGTATCACGTAACATTTAAGAAGGCAAAAAGCAGAGCCCCGTTTAAGATGCATTGCCTCCATTTGTTGCATTTCAAAATCTCCTTTTCATGGGCCTATAATCATAGGCAGGTCCTCAGATGGAGCCTCCGGGGGGCTGCTGTGGGGTCTCAAAGAACATCCTTTCCAACTGTCTTCTAACTGTGGGGGAAACCAAGGCTCCAGGAGGCTTAGTGGTGCCTCAGGAATCTGGTTAGGGTGCTGGGACTACTCCTGCGCAGAGTTCTCAGGCTACCTGTTCTCAATATTTCCATGATCCGTGGGCCTGAAAATTTGTCGGCAGTGATATGTTCTTTGATTTAAGTACTCTTTTTTTCCCCTCTCCAATCCTGCAGCGCTAATTCCTTTTGAGAGTCTAAGTTGAGTGAATTTCCCCACATCCTCCCACCCCTATACCCCATCATAGGGGAAGGTTGTGTTTCATGGGCATAGCTAGTGCGTGGGACTCTGAAAAGGGGAAAAGATACAGAAAGGGTTAGTTGAGGGTCAGTCCAAGACCAAGTCCTTTAACTGCATGATTTTGCCCAGGCTGTGCGAGCATAGCTTCAGGGAGGATGAGACCATAATTTTCAGGCCTTCAACAAGCTTTTTCTTTGATGTATGACTCTTGTTCATGTGTTTAAAGATATTCTTGGTGTTGTGGATTAAAACAGGCTTTTGGCTTTAAAGACTACATGTAAAAAATGTAGCTTGAGCCATTTTTATTTTGTACTTTAATTTCTGAGAAATGTGACTGTCATGGAGTTAGTGCCCCCGTAGGGAAAAATGGGTTAGCTGAGACACTACTTTAGTTTGGGTAAATTAATGTGTAAAAATCTTGCCCTATAAATTAATTTGATTTAATTTAACATTGGTTTTCATGATCAAAGTGCTACAGTCACATTTTAGAAAACTTAATTCAGGAAGGGGGATGAGATAAATATTTTTCTTCAATACAGTGACACTTTGGTATTATTTCCTTGTACATTTTTTCCCTTATCATCTGAAATACAATATAATTTTAAGATTATGGATCTTTCCAGAATATGGCAGATGAGGCAAAACCTTTTCTATTTTCATCTAATCGGGCTCCCAAATGAGGAGGTGGTCTGTTCTTTCTGCTTTTTGTTTTTTTCCCCACTGCCTTTGGCAAAAATCGTCAGCATGTTTAGCAGAAGGTGGACACATAATTCTAGGTTCGGATGCAGTAGCAATATCCTCGGTGGAATGATTCTGCTAAAAGAAATTCTCAAAGTTAAGCTTGGAGGAAATGAGTCAAATGTTTCTGAACACAATTCTGAGGGGTAGTTGAGTTCCATTTCCTGAGGGTAGAAATAAAAAACATCGACATTTTCATTCTAGATCTTGGAATTTTTAACTGGCCCCTGTGGCCCAGGCCCGCCATTTGGGTTGGTAAAACCCTGCCCTTTGGCTGGTGTGATTGGGGGAAGGAAAGTATGTTCTCGCTCAGTTTAGTCATTCACAGAGCTTCCCCCCCTCTGCCAGGATAGGCTCCTGTTCCCTTATGCTTACTTTGTTCCATGTCTTATTTGCAGAGCACTCGGGTGGAGTTTGACCTGCCAGAATATTCTGTGCGTCGCAGATACCAGGATTTCGACTGGTTGAGGAACAAACTGGAAGAATCGCAGCCCACTCATCTCATTCCCGTAGGTACTAAGTCGCTGTAGCTTGTTGCTTTTCCTGCATTTTCTTTCCCGAGACTGTTCACTCACCTCTCACCCCTTACATCACAGGCAAACTCGGTTTTAGTCCAGACTCACCCATCAAATGCTTACGGATCCTGTATAACATACTTTACCTTTGGGGTTTTGGTTTCTGACTTGCTCTACAGTATGCTGGCTTCTTGAGTGGGGCAGGGTAGGTTTTCACTTCCATTATGACAAATTTTTGAAGCATGGAGAGTTCTAGCTCTCATTTGCGGCCTCTTTAGAGACCGATTCCCCTTCCTCGCCGCTGTTCCTGAAGTTTGGACAGCTGCCACCTGGTGACGAGTGATGCCTCCGATTGCAGCGGCCTGCGCTTTCTTCAGACATGGGCCATTCAGGCAGCAGGGATCTAGCACACAGTCCACTTAGCCAGCTTCCCATTTAGAAAACAAGCCCCAAAGCCACTTTACCTCTCTTTATTTAAGCAGCATAATATTTATCTGTTACGAAGATCTGCACATTTTAAACAGAACCAGAGCAAATAAAATAAAAAAGATACCTAAAATCAACATACACATTGAGTACTTTTCTACTTTTTTTTTTTTTTAGTAGAAATAATAGCTATTTATATCCCAGGTGTTTCTGGGGCTTTGGTGGCTTTATGGCAATGTAGGTCATAAACCCCTTCAGCAGGGCTTTCTCTTTCAGTAATAACCTTGGTTGAATAACTTCTTAGCACTCCCAATTTTCCTGTTGCTACTGCTGCTTCTAACACTTCCTTATTACCCACGGGTGGAAGAGGCTGAATATGTGGGACACTAGTGGTTTTCTTGGTTTTCAAGGCAAAAGCAGCCACGTTGCTGGTGCTGTGATGGGAATGGTGGGACTTGCCTGGGTGTCTTTTCTTTCTCAGGGCCCCTCCCCACCTCTTATCTGGACTCTGACCTCCATCCCCACCCCCACCAAGTATCCCCTCTGCTCTTCAAGCCTGAAATTCTGCTTTCCTGGCTTATAGTCACTTAAAAACATGCCTGAAGAAGAAACTATAGCTTTGGAACCTTTGGAACTATTCCTTAAAATAGAATCTTAAAAAAAACATACCTTAATTTGGCAAAATTGGCAGCTAGTGAATTTTTTTAAAATAGACTTGTTATTTTAGGACAGTTTTAGAATTCTAGGATTATTGCAAAGATAGTACATGAGTTCTTTTATACCCCACACTCAGTTTTGCTTATTAACACGTTAGTATGGTGCACTTGTCGCAGCGAACAAACCAGTAAATGGTACATTATTATTGCCTGAAAGTTCTTTATTCAGATTTCCTCCATTTTTGCCTAATGTCTTTTTCCTGTCCCAGAATTCCACCCAGGATGCTGCATTACATTTCGTCCTCAGGTCTCCTTAGGCTCTTCTTGGTTGTGACAGTTTCTCAGGCTTTCCTTGTTTTCGATGATGAGAGTTCTGAGGTGTGCTGCTCAGGCCTTTAGTACAGTGCCCCTCAGCTGAGATTTACCTGATGTTTTTCTCATGATTAGATCGGGGTAATGTATTTTAGGGAGGAAAAGCACAGAGGGTAAAGTGCCATTGTCATTGCATCTTATCAAGGGTCAGTACTGTCCACAGTATTTATCACTATTGGTGTTCACCTTGATCACCTGACTTGAGGTAGCGCTTACAGGTTTCTCCACTGTGCGGGTCCTCTTGCTTTCTACCCCTTTCCATACTGGACGCTTTGGAAGGAAGTTGCTCTTTATGCGGAGCCCACACTGTGTGCTTACGGGGAGTTGTGCTCCACCTCCTGGCAGGTCGGCGCATTTCAAGTTTGGTACTTAACCATCAAAGGTTAGGTAGCAACCCCTGCTGGTGAAACGGAGGAGTGCTCGTGGGCAGGCACCTAAGCCAGAACTGAAAGAGAATGGAAGTCTCCAGAATGCTCAGGAATGATCCAGACTATCTTTAAGTATGGTTTCCTGTGGTCTGGGTAGAAGCAGTGAGTAGGACGGTATTTTAGAAGCAAGTGGAGACTTAAATTTCTTCATTAATCCTTAGTGCATATCTGGGCTGCAGAGAGATTTAATATAGGAGAGCATCTCTGACTTAAATAGGAAAGTCAAACTGGAAACAAAAAATTGTTTCCCCTATGGAAAAATTGTTTCCCCTACAGCAACTTTGCTCGGAGGTGTCTACCTGTTATTAAGCATCGTCTTTGTGTTAGTCTTTTTACAAGGTCTGATGAGTACCCTTGGGAAGGTAAGGTGTTGTAAGACAGAAAAGGGATTCCCACCCTGGAGAGTTTATTGTCAGGTGGAGACCCAGTAAAGATGCAATGCAATTATTGTTTAAATTTTCATTTATTTTCTAAAAAATAGCTTTATTGAGATACAATTCCTATATCATACAATTCACCTATTTAAAATGTGCAAGTCAAGGGCTTTTAATGAATTCATAAGTTGTGCAACTATCAGCACAATCAATTTTAGAATCTTTTTATCACCCCAAAAAGAAACCTCCTACTCCTTGCCTTTCACTTCCAAACTCTCTATCTTTCCTGGTGCCTGGCAACTGCTAGTCTGTGTTCTGCTTCTCTAGAATTGCCTATTCTGGACATCCCATATAAGTAGAATCATACACTATGTAATCTTTTGCGACTGGATTTTTTCACTTAGCATAATGTTTTCAGGGTTCATCCATGTAGAAGCATGTAGCAGTACCGCCTTCCTTTTTATTGTTGATTAATAGTCCGCTGTCTGGATATATCACATTTTGTCTATCCACTCACCTTCACTGGGCGTTTGAGCTGCCTCCACTTTTTCATTATTATGAGTAATGCTGTGAACACTTATGTGCAGGTTTTTGTTTTCCTGGGTGTGCACCTCGGGGTATAATTGCTAAATCGTATGTAGCTCTATAGTTAACCGTGTGAGGAACTGCCAGACTGTTTTCCAGAGCAGCTGCATCATTTTATCTTCCCGCCAGCAGTGTAGGAGGGTTTCGGTCTCTCCACATCTTCATCAGCATTGGTTATTACCTGGTTTTGGTTACAGCCGTCGTGCTGGGTCAGAAGTGGTATCTCATTGTGGTTTTGATGTGCGTTCCCCTGACGGTTAATGAGGCTGAGCGTTGTTGTTGTTGTTAATCCTTACTAGAGGATGTTTTTTCTATTGCTTTTTCAGAGGTAGTATAAGGGAGGGAGGGAGGGGAAAGAGAGAGAGAGGGAGAGAGAGAGAAGTGTCGATATGAGAGAGACACATTGATTGGTTGCCTCCCGCACGTGCCCCCACCAGGAGCAGGGAGTGAACCCACAATCCAGGTATGTGCCCTTGACCGGGAATTGAACCCAAGACCCTTTGGTGTGTGGGTCGACGCTCTAACCACGGAGCAACACCGGCTAGGGCTTAAATTGATTTTTAGAGAGAGAGGAAGGGAGAGGGAGAGGGAGGGAGAGAGGAAGAGAGAGAAACATCGATGTGAGAGTGAAACATTGATCAGCTGCCTCCTGTACGCCCCCTACTGGGGATTGAGACTACAACGCTGGGTATGTACCCTGACTGGGAATTGAACCGACAACCTTTCCATCCACAGGGACAACACCTAACCAACTGAGCCACACTGGCCAGGGCACATTTTATTTTTCAAGATGAACTTTAGAATCTTTTGAATAACTTGGAATATTAGGGGGAATGGTGGGGAGTTTCTGGTTTTTTTGAAGGTGTTGACAATTTAAGTTGATTATGATTAAAATGTGTTAGAATTCTTGAGCTTTCAGGTGCTACTGCTTATGTTAGGAGCATGGAGATAAAGTTCCCACTTTACCTGGGCTTCAGTGGAGTCTTGCGAAGGTTTAGGTGAACAGTCAGCCAGACAGTTGTTCTGGGAGGCACCCAGGTTCTTTCATTTGCCTTTCCCTGTTGGCTGTCCTGAGGCCTGCCCTTGTTTCTGGCCTCTATGGCTCTGAACTTAGCAGCTTCTGGGGCTCTGCTGGAGAAACCCAGCCCCTTACTTCCTCAGCCTGTCTTTCTTCACCCCAGTGGAATCACAAGATGGTTGATATCCATTGACTTTTCTTTTGACCCAGTCTTTTCCGCTTTGTGTCTTTAACAAACTCTGTCCTGTTAATAATATATTTTCTGGTGCTGTGACAGATTTTTCTTTTTTTAATATTGCATTGTTTCTCTGGAATTTTAAAAGCAGAAAGAAATAATCATACATTCTTAAAATGCCATCTTAAAGCTAGAAGTGTGCTGGATGTGTATGTTTGTTAGCTCATCATTGCAATTCACTCTGTATGTCTTTATCTAATAACAGGAGTCACTAGAGTCTTCACTGATGTGTTTTTGTTTTTTAATTAGAAACTTTTTTGGCTTAAAAGTTGGTTTTACACTACTTCATTTGCGGGAGCACAACTTGTTACACAGCAGATAAATGTCATGATTCTGTGAGCATAGGTAGATTGTGGAGATGAAACAAATACATTTATTAAACTCTGTAGTGTTTAATTTCACTTGGAAATTTAATTCTTGCTTCAATTTTTTTATGAAGGAAGCTTTGCTGGAAGGAAACATCTGTACTTACGCACCTAGTTTTGTTTTAGGTAGTGGTAAACTCATAGGAATTAATTAAAGACATTTGTAATGCAGCAGCTATTCTTACTATAAAATAATCAGTAAAAACTCTAACTTCATTTTCCAGTTGGTTCTATCATTTTGGTACTTTTAAATATGCATGCCTTTAGCTTACCAGTAGATTAGTTACAAGATAGTGAAACATTGGTTGACCTTCGAAGTACCTTGAATTTAACCAGGCTTGGTGATTGTTCTCTGTGGGGACAGAGCTTTTCATTTTGATGCGCTTTTATTTGTTATTTCTGCGTAGAGCCATATTTTCTGTTTGTTTGATAAGGATAGGAAAAATAATTTTCTGTCATGTAGAGGAGGTGTACACTGAATATTTGCTGAATTTCATAGAAGTAATTTAAATGCTGACAAAAGGAAGTTGGACATTTAAAGACTGAGCAATTGAAATCTTTGTCCACATTCCCCACCCAGAAATAGTAGTATTTCAGTGACAATCTACAGGAAATATGCTTTTGTTTCGCAGACTGTAAAGTACTTTCTTATAAACTAGTATGAAATACATGTGAAAGTGTTTTACCAAAGTATCAAGCGCTGTAAAAATGTAATTTTTTTTTTTTAGAGAGGAATGGGGTGGGGAGGGGGAGAGAGAGAGAGAGAAAGAAAGAAAGAAAGAAAGAAACATCGATGTGAGAGAGAAACATTGATCAGTTGCCTCCTGTACACTCCAACTGGGGATTGAACCCACCACCTGGGTATGTGCCCTGACTGGGAACCGAACCCATCACCTTTCGGTGTATGGAATGATGCTCCAACCAACTGAGCCACACCAGCCAGGGCAAAAAAATGTAAATATTTTAAGATTAAACCTTGAAATATTTGATGGGGTATTGTAATGCTTTGCAAATAGGATTTTTGGTAGGTCCCAACATGTATAGTGTGTGTCCCAACACATATAATATATATATGTTTTCACGTATACATAAAAAATGTATACACACACTTTGAATAATTATAAAGGCAGTGTTTATTAAAATGCATTTCATTTTCAAAATTGAGCTGTTAGCTGTTAAAGTGTGTATACATTTTTTTGGAGCACCCTGTATGTGCATGTATAGTTTTTAAAAAACTTTTTCATTATGGAAAATGTCAAATAATACTAAAGTAGAGAGATTCAGTGTGATGAACCCTCATGTATTCATCACTCAGTTTCAACTTATGGCCAATCTTGTTTCATCTCTAACCCACCCACTCCCTCACTCCATACTAAGTGACTTGTTTTTAAAAAGTGACTTAGGCCCTGGCCAGGTGGCTCTGTTGGTTGGAGCGTCGTCCTATATCCCAAAAGGTTGTCAGTTCGATTCCCCGTCAGGGCACATGCCTGGGTTGAGAGCTCAGTCCCTGGTCGTGGAGTGTACAGGAGGCAACCAGTCGATATTTGTCTCTCTCTCTCCCCCTTCTTCTCTAAAAATCAAAAACATATCCTCGGGTGAGGATTAAAAATTTTTTTTTTAAAAAGCGACTTAGGCACCAGAAATTTATTACTTTACAGTTTTTGAATCAGAAGTCCAAAGTTGGTCCCAGTAGGTTCATATCCAGGTGCAGGCAGGGCTGCATTTCTTCTGGAGGCTCCAGGGGAGAATTTGTTCTTTGGCTTTTCCAGCTCCCGCAGGCCACCTACGTTCCTTGGCTCATGGCGCCTTCTTCCATCGTCAAAGCCAGTGGCATGGCATCTTCTCTCCTCTCTGACATCTTCCATCATCACCTTTTTAAAAAAAAAAATTGAGATAAAAGTCACCGTTTTAATGTGTACAATTCAGTGGCTTTGACTACATCCACAATGTTGTTGTTGTGTTTGTTTGTTTTTCCAGGAATGGGGTGGGGAGGGAGAGGAAGGGGAAGGAAGGGATGCCAACTGATGGTCTCCACAATGTTTTGTAATCACCACTACTATCTAATTCCAGAAAATTTTCATCACCCCCCCCAAAGAAACCCCATACCCACTAAGCAATCACTTCCCACTCTCCCTTTTCCCCAGCCCAACTGCTATGAATGACCCTGCTGGAACATTTATTGTACACGTTTCTGTTTAAGCACTTGCTTTTGGTTATCTTGGCTATGTACCAAGGGATGGAATGGCTGGATCATGTGGTAATTCTGTCTTTAATTTTTTGAGGATTCACCAAGCTTTTCCACAGAGGCTGCACCGGTTTACATTCTCACCAGCAATGTATGAGGATTCCAGTTTCTCCACATACTTGCCAACACTTGTTAGTCTCCTTTTATTTTTCTTGCATAGCCCTCTCAGTGGTGTGAAATGGCATTCCAGATGACTTTTAAAAACATTTTGGCCTGAAAGATATACGGAAGTTCCACTCTTCTCAGTTCACTGTCCTCTTCTTGCTTTCTGTTCTCAGGGTTTACGACATCCCCCGTGTGCTGGGAGCTGTGCTGAGCTTCCCACTGGCATTAGTTGTCTCACTTACAGAGTATAGATGCCCTTGATTTCACCAGTAACCCAGATTCCTTTGCATAAACAACCAGGGAGGTAATTACAAAGGTGAGGCTGAGAGTAGGTGTGTCCCTTTCAGGAAGTTTGAAATAGGAAGAAACACATTTTCGAAGTCATGTACTTTTGGGGATAATTATGCTTATTAGGGAAGGAAATTCTGTTTGCAGAAGGATTCACCCCAGGGTTCCTTCAAATAGCAAGCTCCCCTGATTCATTACACATGAAGTTCAATGTACTAAGTCTGAAGAAAGGCTAACGATTTCAGGAGGCTGTTATGTTAAGTGAGGCATACCTAGCCACTTAGTTGCTCATTAGCCTTCCTCCCAGGTCCTGTTCAGCAGAAGCAAATGCGAGTATGCTCAAACCCCATATATGGCCAGGTAGTTTGAAATTGCCCACACTATTGACTGAAAGTAAATATGATAAATTTGTGTAAGTGCAGTAAAGGAAGTTTCAATTTTAAGAACCTTTTAGTATAAACCTAAACAAACAAAAAAAGCAGAGGAAAGGTATTTTTCAAATAACGTGGGTTTGCCTAATGTGCTTATTTCTCCATCTACCAAGTTCTTTTACCCCTTGAACTGGGAGTAGAATCTTATTATATTTAAATACATTTCTGTGCGGTTGGTGTTGTCTGCCTTCTTTCCTTAAACTATTTTATCTCGTCCTAACTTTCTCATTATATCTTCTGTGCATCAAGCAATGTAAAGGTAACTAACTATTGGATTTATTGGATAAACACTGACTGGCTGTTTTCTGTGTTCCAGGAACTATGCTCTAGTGTTTTATTTCTTGCATTTTAAAATTGACAGGGTAGTTCTTGATTTATCCTGTCTATATTTTTAAAAAATGTTTATATTGATGACTAGCTACTTAGAGATCTGATTAACAAGCACTGTTCTTGGGCAGATGGGTCATAGGAATGATTCGCTAGCCTGGTGGTTTTTCTTTGTACCATTTTATCAGTTGCTCCGAACATTTTCCTTCCTGTCTTCACAGCCGCTTCCTGAGAAGTTTGTGGTGAAAGGTGTTGTGGATCGTTTTTCAGAAGAGTTTGTGGAGACCAGAAGAAAAGCTTTGGATAAATTTCTAAAAAGGATTACGGATCATCCTGTACTTTCTTTCAATGAACACTTTAATGTTTTCCTTACTGCTAAGGTAAGGACAGAATTTTTCCTATTCCTTCCCCCAAATCAGCATTCTCTGGGCTCTTTCTTAAAAGTTGTTTTTGTCTCTCACAAGCCACCTTCATGAATGGCCCACTCTGGTGGGTGTCATTGAACTGCCCTGTGTTTTTGGTGTCCGTTTGCATTAGCATGGTTACTGTGCTAGAATTTAGGAGAAGAGCCTCCTTGCAGCAGCAGAGGAAGTTAGAATATTTTCACTTGCCAAAAGCAGGGATAAGAGTTTCTTTAAACCCTTCTTGGCATATTACTGGGTGAGGCCATTCTGAGCAACAATGGGTATGCAAGGGTCAGAACATTCATTGAGTATGTGGTAAGGATGCTTTTCACAAGAGCCCTGGGTGAGTTTACTCTTACCCCATTTTACAGATGAGGAAACAAGTTCTGGGAGTTTGTACGTGTTCAAGTGGAATCACTAGGATTTGAAAGTGGGTCTTTGTGGCCACAGTTTTTCTCTGCAACAGACTGCCTGAGCAAGAGCATGACTTTCCCCCGGCCATGTTTCTAATCAGGTGGCACTTTCCGAGCCTTTGCCAGAGAAATAGTTGGGCTTTCCCCAGTTGCCAGATTCTGTGTATTCAAATTCAGCTTGATGACTCAGCCACTTCTCTCTGCATTTCCCTGCTGGCAGAACCTGCCAGTAAACCTGAGCCACTCTACTGTAATGGTCTAGAGAAATGTGATCTTGTGCGAGTTTCCTTCCAGCTCCTTCTGTTTAGTTTCATGTATCATATTGCATATTCAGGACATAGGTCATTTTTCCCATGGGGCAAGAGTATTGAGGCCCAGGTACTTTTCAGTTTTCTTTTTTGAAATGGCAAAATTGAGAAATGTTTACAGATAACATCAGTTGACACTAGAGCCTTTAGCAAGGGTGCCATTCCAGACAATGGAAATTGCGTGGCAAAGTCCTTTAGTGTTTGAGGTTGTGTTTTTTTTTTTAACCTCAGTTATGTTTTAGCCTCATTGATGACAGTTTCATTCATCTTCTCTTTTCCTGGGATGCTTTTTCCCCAGTAGGTCAAACATGTTATTTTTTAAATAAGTATTTCCTGGTAAACTGATCCTTGGATATAGTTCTTTCAGCTTATATACAAAGTAAAATCCATTGTGTTCTCCAAAAGAGCAATTCACTGATTCACCCAAATTATAAGTCCGCCAGCCAGGTGGGTCCTCAAGCGTAGTCATTTTAATTACACAGAGAGACAAAAGGGGGGAAAAACCTGGACCCCTAGTGATTAGGAATCTGCATGAAGAATAAATAGGAAGATTGTGTGTGTGTGTGTGTGTGTGTGTGTGTGTGTGTGTGTGTGTGTATTTATCTGTGGGCCATGTAGTATGGAATTATTTTATTTATTTTGAAATATATCTTTATTGATTTCAGAGTGAGGAAGGGAGAGGGAGAGAGAGAATTGAAACATCAATAATAGGAGAGTCATCATTGATCAACTGCTTCCTGCATGCCCCTGTCTGGGGATCGAGCCCACAACCTGGGCATGTGCCCTGACCAGGAATCGAACTGTGATCTCCTGGATCTTAGGTCAATGCTCCATTGCTGAGCCATGCCCAGCCGGGTGTATGGAATGATTTTTAAAAGTAGTCCTTCAATATCTTAATCAAAACCCAATTCATGTGGGTGAGTAAGGGGAGTTGGCTTGTTCAAGTAGAACAAAGTCTAGTCCTAATTCAATGTTACTTGTTGAACTAAATGCACTGAATAACCCCATCTTTTTTCTTTTTCTTTTTCTTTTTAATATGGTAAAATACACATAACATAAAATTGATTATCTTAACCATTTGAAAATGGACAGTTCATTAGTGTTAAGTAAATTCACTTTGTTGTGCAGCTGATCTCCAGAGCTTCTTCATCTTGCAGAGCTGAAACATGATACCCAT